ATAAAATTGCCAAGAAATTGTGCACCATATTTGAGAAGTCGTGGCTGTCTGAAGTTCCTGCTGACTGGAAAAGGGGATGTGTCACCCCCACTTTTCAAAAGAGAAACAAGGAAGACCCAGGGAACTACAGGTCGGTCAGTGTCACCTCAGTGCCTGGCAAGATCGTGGAGCAGGTCCTCCTGGAAACTATGCTAAGGCACATGGACACTAAGGGGGCTTCATGAAGGGCAAATTGTGCCTGACAAATTTGACGGCCTTCTACGGTGGGGCCACAGCATTGTAAGGATGGATAAGGGAAGAGCGACTGCATCATCTGCATTGCCTTGTGCAAGGCATTTGACGCTGTTTCTCATGGCATCCTTGTCTCTGAACTGGAGAGGCATGGATTTGATGGATGGGCCTGCTTTACCTTTGGAATTGCTGCTTCCGTGCTCCACATGGCAGTACTGGGGCTGCCTTGGAATATATGGGTAACATCCTTGTTGTTTGACAGGGCACTGGGGAGCAAATCCTTTGTACTACATAGATGAACCTTTTAGGGAACCTGTTCCTGATAAAACTGTCAAAGTGCTTCTTGGGGATCTGGTCTGGTCTAGCCTATGACACCTCAGTGTGCATCCAGTGATAATCTCGCTTTAGGTAAATTGGTAACGTTGGTATTATTGCAGAACAGTATTGAAAGTCTTTTAGTTTAAAGGTTTTTCTCCTGTTTTCCTTGATTTCTTTGCAGCACAAAACGTTTAATTGTTGATGTAATCCGCTTCCAACCAGGGGAGACGCTGACTGAAATCTTGGGAACTCCAGCTACCTCAGAGCAAGTATGAAGTTGTTTACCTGCATTCTTTTTAGATTAGGAGATTGTCATCTATCCCGATATATGTGGGTGTTAGGAATGTGCATTTATGTGTGACGGTGAAGCTGTCTCCACTGATTTTGAAGCAGAGTGTAGCAATAATAAGGAGGGAATACAGTGGACATAAATTGTATATGTGAACCTTACCTCACTGGTAGTTGCTAGAAACTGTTTATGTAGACAACAGTTTTAAATGGCAGGTAGGCTTCTGCTGCTTCCTGTACATGGAATGTGCTCATCAAACATGGATTCACTGGAGCCATTACGGGAATGACCAAGCAAAATTCTTGTTATATATTGTGCCTGAGGTCAGAAAAATCTGTTTCTGGTTCTTTGTCACCTTAAAATTGATCTGCTTATGAACTTGTAGTTTTTTGCTTTCTTTTTCTAGGAAGCTGAGCATCAGAGAGCTATGCAGAAACGGGCCATTCGTGATGCTAAAACTCCCGATAAGATGAAAAAATCTGTGTCTGTGAAGGAAGATGGCAACTTAAATCTTCAAGGAAAGAAAGATAAAATTAAGACAGGCCTGAAGAAATTGACAGAACTGGGGACAGTGAATGCTAAAAATAAATACCAGGAACTAATCAATGACATTGCAAAGGTATGCCCATTTGTGGTTTCCTAGTGGTCACAGTGGAGTTTTCCCACAGTTTGCAGTGTTGTGAAACTGGCATTGAGTTTTCAAGAGGAGTGAGTCTTGTAGTAGTAATGTACAGACATGAAGCCTCTACCTTTTGTCACAGCGTTCCCACTTCTTGGCATTTGGAATTCCTTTATATTTATAGGACATTTGAGTTTTCTCAACTGATTGTGTTGCCAGAATCTCAGGCACTTTAGGAAAAAGCTTCCTAGCTTGCGGGGGGAAGTCCTGATGTGTGACCTTTTTTACTGTTTCTTTCAGCTGATTTAAACAGTGGCTCTGCCTACTTCTTCACACAAGGAAATTTTGCCTAAAAAGATACTCTGTCACCGTAGCAGCATAAAACAGTATTAGATCACTTTTGTGAGTTTTTATTAGATCCCTCTTTTATCTTTTAGGTATTTAAATAAAAGTAGCAGTGTATTTTATATCACATGTTTACCAAAACCTGTTTGGGAAATATTATGTATGTAAAGTGAATAAATAATCACCTTTGCGTATCCAATTAGAATTAACTGTACTGTCATTAACTTACTACTTTCATTTTTTTGATACATACTGACTTCAACACATGATATTTTTGTTCCAGCATTAAGGTAATGTGCATCTACAGATGGCTGACTAGTAAAGAAAGATCAGGAAGTCTGTGCACTTCTATGGTTTTAGTACTTGATTTGTAAGATACTTTTCCTATCCAGAGATGGCAAAAATTGCTTCCTTCCTGTAGATCGCATGCTGTCGGTGACCACTCTAGTCATTGCAACTAGGACAGCATTGGAGTTTGAAAAAGGAACAAAAGGTTCAAATGAACTGCTGTGTATACTTGGTTAGTTCCAAAAACAGTCAACGCAGAGAAGAAGTGGTGACACTTAAACTGGGGCAAATGCCACTGAGAGCTCCAGCTTGTAGCATGAAGCAAGACTAAGCAAAATCAAATGGTGTGTTCCAGGTACTCTGCGTTCTGGGCTTGAGCAACTGGAGAGCTCAAATGAGTGTTAAGTCTTTGCTTGTCTTTCTCTGTGATGTAGGATATCCGAAATCAGCGTAGATACCGTCAGAGAAGAAAGGCAGAGCTGGTGAAGCTGCAGCAGACATACAGTGCCTTGAACTCCAAAGCTACTTTTTATGGGGAACAAGTGGATTATTACAAAAGCTACATCAAAACCTGTTTGGATAACCTGGCCAGCAAGGGCAAGTAAGTGTCTTGGAAACCATGCTGTGGTTCTAGAAGTGCTTTCTGCAGAAAGGTTGTTGTAGATTGTTGCTAGGAAGAATTACAATGGTGTCTGCTTAAAGGACCTTGGCCAAGCTCTTTACTGCAGCAGTAGTTACAGGGAAAGGGTCTCGGCAGTGCTGGGCAAATGCAGGTGGAGGGCAGTGCCTGAATGGGGTCAGAAAGACATACTTGAAAGCATTTTGATCCCTCTGGGAGAGGGGAGTGTAGAGTGTCCAGAGAGAATGAAGCAGGTTGTTCGGGTAATGCACATGCTGCTCAGTCAGTCTGTCCTGTCATCCTTTCTAGGAACAGAGAATGAAAATAACAGTTACCTACAAGGAAATCATTGGTAACCAATTGTCCTCTTTTTATCCCAAAAAGGTGGGGACAGGAGGTGAGGGGGAAGTAAGGTGCAGAAGAGCAGAAGCATCTTCCTCCCCAGCTTGATCTGGGAAGAGCAGCTGCCAGTGAAAACTAAGGCAACAAAGCTGCAGAGTAATCTCAGCCTTCTCCATGTCAGTTGTCACCAAATCCCCTTTTGCCTAATGATAGGTGGTACTGCTTTCTGTGAAGTACCATGTGGTTATGTTTCGGCGGGGGGAGGGGTGTTGGTGTTTTTATCAGCTGTGTTCGTCACCATTGATCAGCTATACTGATTCTATCCCCTCATCCAAATAGGATTAAATGTTTGCAGTCTAAAATCTCTTTACTTGTTTGACTGATAAGCTTGGGGTTTTTGTTTTGGTTTTTTGTTTGGTTTGGTTTTTCCAGAGTTTCTAAGAAGCCTCGGGAGATGAAAGGCAAGAACAGTAAAAAGATTTCTCTAAAATATACAGCAGCTCGACTTCATGAGAAGGGAGTACTTTTAGAGATTGAGGACCTGCAAGGTAACCAGTGAGTATCTTTTTTTAAAACTCTTTAAAGCTGAGTAGGCTTCTCAGAGGAAAATGGGTACATTGAATTCTTGTGTCTTTGAACTGGTTTAGGTGCTGGCCATTGAGAAAAGAAGCTGTGAGATCTGTTTGAAATTGTGACAGGTTGTCTCGTGGTTTTGTTCTTGGAATTTAGCATTGTTGTAGACTTAGTTATTAAAGCTGAAGAAATTGCTTTTGGCAATCTTGGCTGGCACCCCTCAGGCTGAAGACCCCTTGCTCAGTGATTGCTTTATCGCTTCACAGTTCTCCTTACCACCACCCTCTTTTTCTTTTTTTTTTTTTTTTTTTCCCCTTTAGTGGTGGAAGTGAAGCAGGGCTTTGGTTGAGAAGTATGATGGGATTTAAACGTGACATCTTCTTCCCACCTGCCACTTTCCTGCCACACCCCAGTCATAAAAGGGCACGTCCTTGGGTGAATTGCTGCTATGCTTAATAGCTCTCACTGTTGAAAAAGCATCTTGATGGTAGCTTTAGTTTGTCCAGCTATGGCTTGCTAGCCTTGAGAACTAGGTGTATCTTCTGTGGAATACAGAGAAGTTGCCTGTTACTGGAATTTTTTTTCAATGCTGGGTCATATTTTTGTACTTTGTGCACTAAATGAGGCATGGATGTGCAGCACTGAAGTAGGCTGTTTAAACTGCATGGGCTAAATTACGTATTTCCCACTATGCTTGTGTGAATGTGTGATCCACTGGACATAGAATCTGGAAGGCTTCCATTCATTGTTATGTTGAGTCTGGTCAGCTTTTAGAGTCTCATTCCCAATGAGAGTATAGAATATAAGAATATAATTCTTAGAAATCTATTTTCAGATTTCATCTTGTATATTCTCTCCCTGTTTCAGTAGGAAGTACATGTTCAGTAATGAACTGTGGTTTTTCTCAAATTTCGTAGGTTTAAAAATGTGATATTTGAAATCAGTCCAACAGAAGAAGTAGGAGATTTTGAGATAAAAGCAAAATTCATGGGGGTACAGATGGAAACCTTTATGTTACATTATCAGGTAAGAACTGTCCTGTTTAATAGTGGCATATAAGCTTCACCTGCCAGGCTCTTCATCAGAATAAAAATCACATGTTTTCTGCCTGAACAGTCTGAAAAATGCTCTCAAAACCAACTCATGTTGCAGGTGAAACGGATGCAACACAGATGTGGTGTGGGTTTCAGACTACTCTTGTTTCTTTACTAACGAAAGCCTCATGTCAGTCTGTGCTACTAGTTACATTTGCACACACAAAACGAACACATGCATTTTAAACAACTTTCTGCTACAGCAGAGAGATCAGCTGGGCCTGGGTGCGGTGGCTTCAGCCACATCATGCGTTGGTATTCCTGCCACACTATGCTTAACAGTTTCTTCAACTGTGTGGTTCTTGGGAGTCCTCAACCTTTTCTTGGGCCAGGCTACTAGAGCAGACACTGACTGACCTTCTCCCAAATGGTTCCCTGATCCTCTCCCATGCCATCACTGTTATGCCTGGTGTCTCTGTTCTCCTAGTCTACCTTTGTCTCGCCTACCCCCTACCCAGCTTAGGCATTGTTGGGTTTGTAAATTGTGGATGCTTCAGAGGTCTTGAAACAGGTTGTGTGCAGGAGTTCCTTGAATTGGGGTAAGTCTGTGCCGCCTAACTGGGTGCTGTGAGGGACAGTTGCCTCGCACATGCCGTTCGTGTGCTCTGAGGACTCCCCTAGTTCATTCTGGTCCCTATCTGGTCATGAATTTCTTGGTTCATGGGGCTACCCAAGGTCACTTGCTCTTTGGGCACAGGAGTTGCTGTACCGCTGTGTCTTTTTAGCACTGCTTTTCAGAAAAAGCAGAGAGGTTTTTGCTGGATAGTAGGAACAATTTCTTCACTGAGAGGGTGGTCAGGCATTGGAAAAGGCTGCCCAGGGCAGTGGTGGAATCACCATTCCTGGAAGTGTTCAGAAAAAAAACCATGAAACCCTCAGTGATATGGTCTAGTGGCAGCCTTGACAGTGCTGGGGTGATGGTTGGACTGGAGCTTAAACATTTTTCCAGCCCAGCTGATTTTACAATTGAGAGGCCAGCAACGAGGAAAATCCAAGTACAGCATTAATGGTGACATTAATTAAAGAGGCTTGTGTTGCCATTGCCAGAGTTTTTACAGAAAGCAGCAGAAATGGCTTTATGATTGTTTACTCTGGTGTCACCCAGGCTGGACAACTGCAGGAGACAGGTTTGGATTTTGGAATGCATATAAACTTTCCCTGCACTCCTGAACACTGCCTTCATAGCAGCCTTCCAATATCTGAAGGGGGCCTACAAGGATGCTGGGGAGGGACTCTTCATTAGGGGCTCTAGTCGTAGGACAAGGGGTAATGGCTTTAAACTTAAACAGAGGAAGTTTAGATTAGATATAAAGAAGAAGTTCTTCACAGTGAGGGTGGTGAGACACTGGAATGGGCTGCCCCGGGAAGTTGTGAATGCTCCAATCCTGGCAGTGTTCAAGGCCAGGTTGGACAGAGCCTTGGGCGACATAGTTTAGTGTGTGGTGTCCCTGCTCATGGCAGGGGGGTTGGAACCAAACCATTCTATGATTCTATATTGCTCAGTAGGGGCCTTACTGAAAGAAATTCATTGCTGAGATAACTCGGTGTAAGGAGTCCTATTGCTTTGTCAAGTGTATTGCTGACAAGAACAAACTGTAACTAGAAATACTCCCTACTTAAATACCCAAGAGACTGAATCAGCATTGTGTACATAGTGCTAACAGAGATGCTGTGTCTTTCTCTGCTGTAGATTGCAGTGCACCAAACCACCTTGCTGAGACCAGTGGCAACTAAGATTTTTAGAAAGCGACACTGTGGAATGTCATAATGTGTCATGGGTGCATAATATAGTTGGACATATAGGAGACCCTTTCTGAATGTTATGACTTTATGGGTATCGTGCGAATGAAAAGCATGGAGAGGGATAGATCTGTTATTGGGCTTTCTGTTTCTGAGTTGTTGTTGTTTGTTTACTTTTTGGGTGTGGGGTTTTTTGTTCAGGTTTTTTTTTTTTTATTTTTTTTTTATAAAACATTAAAAAATTTAGCTCTTGGATGTCTTAGACTATTTTTTCATGCAGTATGAGTAGATCTTTAATGAATCTCTTGTTTTTTCGATCTTATGCCATGTACTTTGTGATAGATGTTCCTCAAAAACCTACTATACCACAGCGTCTCATATTCTGTGTAAGCTTTTGAGAATTCCTTGCTCACAAAGGTATGCTCTTTGGCAGGATCTTTTGCAGCTGCAGTATGAAGGCGTTGCAGTCATGAAGTTGTTTGACAGAGCAAAAGTGAATGTCAACCTTCTGATCTTTCTTCTGAATAAGAAATTTTATGGGAAGTAACTGTCCTCTGCCAGCAAGTCTCTGAAAGGGGAGATGAAGAGAAATCTGCACGTACAGTTGTAGTGTGACATAGCTATGTATCAGTTTATGCCCATGCCATGCTCACATATATCAAATGTATCATGAAGGAGGACTAAGAACCTCTTGCAAATTAACAACCCTCATTGAGTCTGCAGGGAGTTGGTTTCTTGTTTATTTATAATCTTTAACTTTAAAAGTCCCCTGAAAAGTACTTAATTTAGAATGTATGTGGTGCTGGGGATTAAACTAATAAAAGAGTATACTTAGGGCATATGAATGCTTTATTTGCCTAATAATGTGCTTTGTGAGGCTTGAATTCTTGTTGCCTGTGTGAAGAGGAAGCCAGAGCTGTACAGCTGTCAGTTTGCCTCTTCTTGAAAGCAAAAAATGGTTTGTGGATTATATTTGGACATTATTGTCAATGGCAGTGACCAGGTTAAGAAATGGTCAAGGCGCAGCTTACCCATTGGTTTGTAACTTGCTGTGGTGGCAGTGGCCAGTTCCCCAGATGGAACCACTATGGTCTGGGGTATTTTAAATGGTCACTGAACTATTCGTGACTATTTACTATAGCCACATGGAACAACTTTAGTGTCTCTTTTTTCTTGATTTGTTTCTGGTTTATCGCACTATAATAATTCACATATGACCCCATAAATAGAGGAACTGTGGAATGTACTTATTAGTGCTTACAGATGAAAAGAAGCCTTCTGGGGAAGGAGAGGGAAATAATTTTTTTTTTGAGACATGTTAACTTTTAATGTTGCTTGCAAAGTATTTGAAATGTAAAAATAACTTTTTTCCAGTTAAGAGCAATGTTCTATGTATGTGTATCTGATGAAATATGTTAGGCTCTACCTGCAGGCTCGTCTAGGGAAGACAACTATCTTAAATAGGTTAGCTTTTATAAAGTTAATTTTTTCAAGCTATGCTCAAGTTCCCATTTCTTTTACTCCTTTGGTTTTGTTAGGGGTTTTTGTTGGGTTTCTTTCCCCACTGCTGCCTGTTCAGCTGTATCTAGTAAAAATGCATGGACTCTTTCTTGGGAGGAGACACCAAACCAAAACTTGACCTTTAAATTCAGTAGTTGCTCCAGCTCTCCCCCAATTTTTTCTTAAGAGTTTTATGTTTAAAAGGAGGGACATATCTCTTAATTGCAAATTTCAAGTTATTCACAAGTCACTAATATTGGTTGTTCAGATTACTGAGTTTAATTGAACTGCTTTATCTCTGCTGTACCCTGAGTTATTTCAGCTAAGATTTTTTTTCTCATTAAAGACAGTTGTATTATTGAAATGACATGACTCGGGCTAACTTTTCTGTAGTTCTCTCGGAAACAAATTTGTATTTTGACCTGCAGGTGTCTAAACTGTATTTAAACATTCTAATGTTGGTGCAGGTGCAAGCGAACGCAGTGACAAAACTCACTCAACCACAACGATCTGCCTTGGCCCCACCCCCCGGCGCGGTCTCACCTGAGGCCTGGTTCAGACCTG